AAGCGAGCCCAGAACTCCGTCCATCAGATAGCCAAAGTATGTAATTCCAAATGACATGGATCCCTCTTTCGGCTCTATTCCGAATGAGAATCACTTACCTCTACTCCCGGTTTGACTATGTCAAAAACAGTAGATGAAAGTGGCTTGTCCGGGCAGCCCCAAAAGGGTATGCTAGGGCCTTGTATGTTGTTACCTATAAGGACTGAAGGTCCTTTGGCAAGGCAGCCCTGGACATGGAGACCACCCTCCAGTTCGAATCTAACTCTCTGAAGAGAAACATACCCTCTTCCTAAAACCAGAGGAGAGGAAGAGGTAGATTGATTTGTTGTAATCTGAGTATGCCTTCGCTGTGAACAAGGAGGAATGATGCCCTCAGCTGGTCAGGATGCAGGAGCCTCTCCAGATCCAATTCTCTTCACTTTGGCCCAGGTACTGAAGAGCTTCACCAAGGGCTCCAATCAGTCCAAGCGACAAGCAACTCCACTCCTAAGGGATCAAGCAAACACCCCAGTGGACCGTAGAAGCACAATCAGCCAAAGTTTGACAAGTGTCCAGCTAATCCCGTGAATCCTTTTACCTTCCCTGGAGAGATCTCATAATCAACGAAGGGGTTTTGTAGAAGAGGAGTGATGATAGGATTTGCCTCATGTGTGCAGGGAAACACTTTGTCAAGGAGTGACCAACTTGGGGCAAGAATAGTATAAAACACTAAATAGGCCAATCGAGGTTGCAGACGCTCTTGCTAAACTGAATTCCTCTAATATTAAAGATGAATCAGCTTCTAAGCTTGAGTCCAGTCCAGCATTGACTTTTCGTTCATGTACACTAAGCCTAAGCCTCTTATTGATTAGCCCTCATCTGAGGAAAAATCTGATCAACTTTGTTTCTTCACCTTCAGTGCAGGAGAAGAAAAACATAAAGTACGGACTGATCATGTTCAAGCCTTCCGTCAACAGGACCCGTATCGAGTGTCTATTGGACTGATCGCTTGGACATGGTGCAAGATTGCAAGATCTTCAGCAAAATCAATCTGAAGTCGGATTACCACCAAATCGATATGGTTGAGAAGGATGTCCACAAGACAGCCTTTTAGACTAGGTATGGTACTACTTATAAGTAGTACCTGGTCATGCCTGTTGGACTCTGTAATGCACCAGGGACCTTCCAAATTGAAATAAACAGGATCTACAAGTTGTTCCTTCATCAATTTGCAGATGTCTATCTGGATTATGTCCTGGTGTTTAAAAAGAACGTCAAAAAACATGTGGAGCATCTGAAGGCATATTGAGTTTTCAGAGAACACAAGACCTTTGGGATTTCTTTTGTCTTGTACTTGGGTCATGTGATCTCGTCAGAGGGCCTTGCCCTTGAAGTTTCCAAGGTCGCTGCAGTTAGGGATGGTCTCAACCTTAAACAGCCAAAGATATCAAGTCATTCATGGGATCGGCTTCGAACAATGGAAAGTTCATTTAGAACTTCTCCCCTAACTAACTTATTGGTCAAGGATGCCCCCTTCAGATGGACTCCTACATGCCAGGTGGCTTTCATTGAAGCCTTTACCCAGGCACATGTACTAAAACTGCTAGACCCTACCTTGCCCTATGTGTTGATCATACACGCAAATCAGTATAGTGTCATGAACCCCAATAGGTACATTGTATCTAAGCACCATTGAGCTTAGATCCGTGTAGTCGGCTACACCCCTTGCCTCTCTAGACTCCTTTTTCCAGATGCATTGCATCTAATAGACTTTTTTAATCTGAACCGAGGTGGCTGCTAAACCTTGAATTAGGCTAGGGCCCTTGGTGCTCCAAAAGTTCCCCCTTTTTGGAGCCGTCTGACCGGCCTGAAGCCCGTGCAATTCATAAGTAAGAAGACTACTTTAAAAAGAAAACAAGCATCTACGAACGATCTATGCCCTTGCATGTGCCCTGAAGCAATGGACACACTTCCTACTAGGGAGACACTTCAAAATCTATTATGATCACTCAACTTTGCAATGAACGAAAACTCAAGGGGAGTTGAATAATTAGTCCGCAAGGTATATTCTGTTCATAGACATGTTTGACTTTGAACTGCAGCACAAAAACCCACAATAGAGTTGCAGATGCACTTTCCCGCAGATCTGACACCTTTGCTGCCATTGTTCACTCTTACTCCTTCGAGGATTCCTTGAGAAAGGCCATTACAGATGTGTTGCCTGAGGATCCGATCTTCGGCCCCATCCTCGAGAATCTGCAAACAGACCCCAACTCTGAGCCAGGTTACATCTTGACTTCGGACCTGCTATACATGAGCAGCAAGGGAAAGTGTCGGTGCATCCCTGCTGACCGTCTGATCAAGACTCTACCTACCGCCGAGTGTCATGATTCCCATGGGCATTTTGGGTCTATAAAAACTTATGCGGGTCTGGTCCAATGGCTTAACTGGTCGGAACTGAAAGAAGTTCTTAAAAACTTAGACACTTGTGAGATATGTCACACGAACAAGGTCCACAGGCGACCACCTATGGGACTTCTCAAACCGCTACCCATCCCAAATGGTCCGCAAAAGCCAATTTTGATACACTTTACTGACCTCAGCAAGACTACCCCTCGTGGGATGAAACAGGTCATCGTTTGTGTTGTCCGTTTCTCTAAGTACGTGGCCCGAGGAGGTGAGAATCCCTCTCAACTGAGAGGTCTTCTTAGAGACCATCATTTCCCGACAGGCCCGCTCAATTTGGTCCACCTATCCTGGGAAAGGGATTTGAAGTGCGGCAAATCGAGGCACAGTTGGGGACTGGCCCCAACTACGAGTACCTTGTTAAATTCCTCTCCCACAAAAGCAAAAAGGCTTGCTGGCCCGCCATTCACCCCATGGGCACTATCAGTTTGGTGGTCCTCGCTCCCCTGGAGGGTAGGAATGCAGTGTTCTTGCAGTTTCTCAGCCGGCTGTAGCACTAACTAGAACGATTTACAATTTTTCAGAGTTACGGGTCCTTACCGGTAACTGAAGCAGGCCTAAGCCGACAGAGACGGTTCTGGAAATTCCCTAAACTACTGGAAAAGTGGGGACCAGTGGGACCACGCCTCGTTTCAGGGCTCGAGGGACCGGTGCTTTACTTTTGCCTCAGACCAGTACCGCTGTTACTCGAAAACACAGACCCATAACTGTTTGTTGGCTTTAGGTCCTTCCAGTGCAGTTGGCTAGAACTAAAATAGAATTGATCCGGAGAGTTCAGAGGTCTTTTGTGGAGCAGTTGTTAAGGCTGCTGGAGCAGCACTGTAGCTAGGAAGCGGCTGCTAGGGTTTCAGGCAGAAGTGAAGCAGGTGCTTCATGTGCTGAGCCTAACGACGGCATAACTGCGCTGTGGGGTTAGGCGCTTCCATATCTTCTTCTTCATGGCCGCCTCCATATCTTCTTCTCCAAGATAGAGGTTCTTTCCTCATCCTGGTGCTGGTGCTGGTGCTGGTGTTGGTGCTAGTTCTTCAGGGAGGACTCTGGCCCAGTGTTGGGACATCTGAGGGAGTTCTGGAGGCGGTGGTGATCTGCATAGTAGTGAGGCTTTGGAATTGGGCGGTGCGCCATAGCCCCGCGGTGTAGGTTGAGCTGGAGGGAGGAGAACGACCCCAGAGCCAGAGCCTTGATGATGAATCTGTGTTTTGAGTTTATTCAAGGTGGTTTACTCTCGGCGGTGATCCTTGGTGATTGCATTGGAGACACAAGCGGTTAACAGGGACACAAGGAGTTAATAGAGACCCCTACTTTTCAGCCCTGGTTAAAACCCCCAGCACTGAAAAGTTGAAAACAGTGAAAAGCGCTGAAAACACTAAAAACTTGAAAAGTGCATTTGGGGATAAATTTCTTCAGCTTTTTTTTTGGTGTGTTTTTTTGCCCTGTTTTATTTTTGGTCAAGGTTTGCGTGTGCTGAGTTTGGCTTTTGTTGGAGTCTTGGAGATGACTGTTTCGGCCAGCCCTGAAAATCCTGAAAAATCCTGAAAACTGAAAAGAGCGAATTTTGCATGAAAACACAACTTTGCCTTGGGGTTTAAGGCCCTTTTGATCCATTTTCTCTACCTTTTTTTTTGTTGCTGTTGGTTTATTTGGTGTCGGCTCTATGGACTGGTGTTAAGCCTGGCTTAAAAGGTGTGGGACATTTGTTATAATGACCCTGAAAAAAATCCTCCTGAAAATTTAGGGCTCTGTTAACTGCTTCTTGCTGGAGAGTGGCGAGGGACACTGGATTGATAGATACTATTCAATTCTCTTCTTGGTTACTGACACTTCCGCTGAGCATATCTCTGTCTGGAATGATGTGTAACCCTCTCCAAATCTGCTTTGTCATTAGGGCATATGTGTATGCGGACATGCTGATGTCCTGTTGGATTGTGTTCTCAATCAGTCACATAGCATAGGCATGTTAAATATCCTCATTCGAAACAATGAAGGACTGATGAAATTACAACCGGCAACGCAACTCGCCTCTAACCTTAACTTCACGAACGTCTCTTTTATATTCTGATGAATCTGGTCCACCATAAATCATTCAGAGCATGTGGCTGTTCTCGTTATGCTCTAATGCTAACACACACCGACCCACGCACGCCTGCACGCAGGCACACATGCACACACCCACCCACACATCCACCCACACACCCACACCCACACCCACACACACACACACACACACACACACACACACACAGACGCACGCATGCCCACACACACACACACACACACACACACACACACACATGCTTTTTCTATCAGAAGTGTTTCTCTCTCTCTCTCTCTCTCTCTCTCTCTCTCTCTCTCTCTCTCTCTCTCTCTCTCTCTCTCTCTCTCTCTCTCTCTGTGTGTGTGTGTGNTGTGTGTGTGTGTGTGTGTGTGTGTGTGTGTGTGTGTGTGTGTGTGTGTGTGTGTGTGTGTGTGTGTGTGTGGAGTTCGCGCTACTGTGAGAATACTAAAGGGCTTAAATGGTCTGTTGAGATTGCTGATTTGAGAAATTGAGAACGAGTAGTGGTTTCATAATTTCATTGCAATTCCATTCTACTCTAAGGCTGCAGTACTGCAAACATTGTGCGATCACAGTTTCTAAGCACCACTTCTTGGTTCGCTCACTGTTTCTAAGCCACAATGGAATTGCAATGCAGATTGCGGAACATCGTCGTTGCTGAAAATGGGAGCAAATGGATAAACAAAAAAAGGGAGGAGGACAACAGCAAACAGCAATAGCTGCAGAGTCGCGCAGACAGCATACGCAGTGCAAGTGCGTGGTGTGATCTGAACGCAGAAGAGCCATGGGATGAAGCAAATATAGTGCACCAATTGAGACTTGATTTAAATTAACAGAAGATTTTCAAATTTTATTACTTGCCCTGCACAACTGAAGAGTCCACAGGAGAATTTGCTCAATGGGAACCCACAACGTCAACGGAACGACTCACCCAACTGAATAGAAGATAAGATATTTCACATGGGAGAGATGGGGAAGAAAGGTGAGAGAGAGCCATGTGTATATAATTTACATACAAAAAAACTTTGAGAAAAAAACTCGAAAAGGTGAAGTAAACTCGTGTGATGTAATTACTAATTAGGTAGGTAGCAGGTAGGTAGTAGGCAGGTACTATATATTTTTATTATTTTGTGACCGTCATACAGAGAGAGAGAGAGAGAGAGAGAGAGAGAGAGAGAGAGAGAGAGAGAGAGAGAGAGAGAGAGAGAGAGAGAGAGAGAGAGAGAGAGAGAATCCGGCAGGAGCAGGAAGCCATATTGCATAATAGGTACAGAGTACACCTCACGTCACCTCATTTTTGTTCTTTTCCAGTGCCTTCACCATCGCGGCCCCTCCTAAGTACAGGCCCATAAGAGGACCAGCAAGAAGGAGTTGGGTGAGTGGGTCTGTCGACGGTGTGAGTACGGCTGCAGCTGTAACCGCACCCACAACAACATACTTCCACACCGCCAACATTTGCTCCCCAGTCACAAGCCCTGTCTGCCCCAAAAGCAGCTGAATCACTGGCACCTGCAGCATAGTTCGACAGCACATCCAACCAACAAATACACCATCAGACAAACCAAAACAACACAACAGAGGACACAGAAGTGGGCATCGGGTGCCCACAACCGCAACCACCTGCCCCACCCGACCCACAAGGTGGGTTGGGCTTGGGTCTACCTATGCCTCCTTGGGTGGGTGACGGGCATATGCAGCTAGTGGGCATTTCTGGGTCATTGACGGGTCAGTATTTGCTCTGGGTCACACATTGCGTGGGTGACAGGTGGGTGAAGGGTTGGCCTGGGCCACCCGACCCATAGACTCAGGACCACCCAAGAAAATCCTCCTCCCCCCCCCCC